AGGAAAACGTTTTATACTATAAGCTTTTAAAAGCATAATGTTTTACTTAGAGGTGTTTTAAAAATAAAATTTTATTGGTAGTTGCTTATTAAAAATTTTTAGTTTTTAAAAAAATTATCACCGCCATTACTTTCGCCGGAGACTGTATGTAGCCATAAATTGTTACAATAAAACACGTCAATTTTCGAGTAAACTCTTGCAACTTTGAGGTTACGTGACAAATCAACAAAAACTTTGTAGAGAAAGGTCCTGACTTCAAATCTACGATTTATTTTTTTTTTGTGTGTGCTTGATAGACGAAACTAAAATTCGATTTAGCGAAAGTTTATATACTATTACTAATACTAATTACTAATACTTCTTGATTCGAAACAAGTGACGAAAATTTCGACAGGTGTGACAAGTGAATTAGATTTTTGAATATATATATATATATATATATATATATATATATATATATGAACCACGTTTGATAGACATTTAAAAGATATATATAAAATCACAAGTCATCATACACTAATCTATAAACGCACATAATAATCAATCTTGTGCTTCTAAGTAAAGATACTCTCCTGCGACTAAAGGCTTGGTTTTAGACCAAGTGAGAAGAGAGTACATCGTGTTAATAACATTCATAATAATTGAATAAATCCCCCCCCCCCCTGTTGTTAATAATTAAACAAACACATTTTACCTTATTACGAATATTTGCATAGTTAATAGGAAAAGCCATTGTGAATTGTTCCATAGTCCTCTCTGATGATTAGTGGCTGGCCACTAATCATTGGTTAACCCCCATTTGATTGTTCTATGCTGCTTGTAGGGATGCCTCAAGTGGTATAGTTGTAAATATTTCTTGTATATATTCTTTTTATTTTATTTATTTATTTTAGGCTTTTGCCAGCAGTACTTAGTATTAGTACTGTAGAGAGAGAGAGAATTGCGCAATAGAGTTTTGAGTAGGCTCTGAGCTGTGTGCTTATACAGAGGCCTGAGATAGAGAATTGAGAACCCTGAGCTGTGTGCCGATACAGGGAGATTTATATATTGTACTTTTTATTTATTTTATCTTATATATTAATTGGACACATCATGAGCTGTATTTGAATTTACACGCTCGTAATATTTAATAGATTATTGTCTACCTTTAATGTAACACACACACCCACACTCAATTTCACACACTGGATGAAATTAGATGGTTTTGATTGGATATATTTCTAATAAAAGAGAATTTTGCTATTATGGAACTGATCTATCAGAAGAACAAGTTTATAATGCATGCATTCAAGCAACTGTAGATATTGAAAAGGTGATGAAGATGATGAAGGATATATCACTGGATAGGCAAATTTAAACTTATCACATGTGAAGGATCTGATGTTTATTTGAATTAATTTTAGACAAGGAAAGTTGTTATTGCCAAAAACATTTTTTCAATCAACAAGAGAAAATGGGGAAAATGGAGACTACAGTAACACTTCTATATAACGGAATGTTTACCTGGGACATTTATATTTGTTATAATGAGGTTTGGTATACAGAATTTATTAGTCAGCAAATTTCGTTATAGAGAATGTTGTACAGATACAGCAGAAAATTTGTACAATATTGACAGAATGAAATAGAGGCAAATGATGAAAGTGATGTGAGAGTTGTGCCGAATGAAATTTATTATTCTTTTTTTTTCATTTCTATTTAACAATCAATGTAAACATGCCATTCATTAATTTTCAAAAATAAAATACCATTTATTTTTACACATCATTGATTTTCACAACCTGCGATACTTATTTTTTTGCAATCAATAAAAAAAAAGTCTGACATATCAAAAAAAAAATTATGAGTATATAGACATTCAGTACTGTACTCTTTTGCATTCCTGTACTGTATATCTACAAAAATAGAAATTTTTTTAAAAAAGTCATACACCAACATACAGTACACAGCATCCCCACCAATCAAATGGATTCTGTACTCATAACATTTAATACAGAAATGCTGATTTGCAGATCATACAGTACATGAATGCAAAAGTGTACAGTACTGAATGCCTACTGACTGAAAAATTATGTAGATTGATAAAAATTCCTTCCCAAAAAATTAGGTTTGAAAAACAAAAGTTTTTCCCACTCAGAAATTATTAAGAAATAAAACATACCTTACAGACTTTGGAATAAGGTTGCTTGCCAAAACTCATCCAGAAATCAATCAGCAGGGTTTCGGCAGGTTACACATTAATTGTTTATTAGAGTTTCGGCAGAGTTTCGCATTTTGAGGTTTCGCCTTTCGGCATAGTTTCAACAGGATTTTTGATAAGATTTAATATAGTTTTGCCATGGTTTCAGCAATTACTAAGGAGGTTTCGCCCACAACCTTACTTTGGAAGGAGGTAGGTCATGACATGGCAAATAACAAATTTCTTCTTTGTGCTAATTAATAATTAACTAATTAGACACATGTGAAATTCTGTCATTTCTGATCCATTTTAATTATTTATTTAATTTTAAAAATTAATTTGTGGCTATTCGTCCAAAAAAATCCTTAGTCAATTACTAGTTGGTCAAAATTTCTTTAATTGACTAATTAGTTGACTAAATTTTTTTTTTAATAATAATATTTCATTTTTTTTTTTTTTTGTTAATTTGTAAATTATGAATTCATTTCTATTAGAATCTTTCACTTTTTCAAAGTACTTCCACACAAAACCATATGTTACGATTCGTTTTTTAAAAGATCTTCTGGAACCACCACTTAAATCATTGAAATTTGGAAGTCAATGAACTATCAGACCTTGTATCAGAAAAGTTAGTGCACATGTAAAATTATCACCACCATTGTCGTCATCATTATATTGATCATATTGATGGTGTTGTAAGAAATTTCACTTTTTAATCTTTTGACATGACCCGTATTAAAAATATTAATAAAAAAATACGAAAACATAATACTATTAAGAAAATTAATTATAAATTATGATGTTATACTAGAATCATAGTAGCATCATCATGAACATTCAATTTTTTAACCCGCATATAATCTTCACAATATTATATGACTGTTTATTTACACATCACATCTCTTATTTACGTTAATTAACATACGTTATTATGCATTAATTATAATTATCATACATATTAATATGTAATCGTGCGTGCAATTATTAAAATTACAATAGCTCAAATATAGCAAGGATCATCATTATCCGTTATATCAAGATAAATTTATTATAAACGACATATTAATATATTAATATTAATATGGATTTTTAAAGAAACATCCGGTAAATCAAATGTATTAGAATATGAAAAATCCGTTAAAACCGTTAAATCAGTTAAATCAAAGATAAAATAATTATAATTATAAGAAAATTTGGTCTCGAAAATTTTACCTAAATCCGCTAAATCAAGACTCACTGTGTAAATATTCTTGATGATATCATATCTGACCGAATTTACTCAAACGGGTTTAGCTCCAAATCTGTCAACAATCATTGTTGCATTTTGACAATTCATATTTTTATTGTTATATAATTTTTTTTTTTTTGGGAATGTGCTCAAATATACTCTGCCATTAAATCAAAACTATTTACGATGTAAGCTTTAAATATAATTATGTTTGAAGCGCATTTCGAGTGGATATTAAAAACATTAATGTTTTAAACTCAATTTAGTTACGCCAAATTAGCGTCCCTAGTCATCAGGAAAATGGGTACAAATATTATGCGTATATAATATGCAATTGCAGGGATTAAGCATATAATATATGTACAATTTGCATACATAAAAAAATACGCGATTTGTACACATATTATATGCTTAATCCCTGCAATTGTGTATTATATATGCATAATATTTGTACCCATTTTCCTGATGTGATTGTATTAGTATATATGCACATATACATAGCTAAAAAAGCAAAACCCAACCAACATTGGCAAATTTTACTAATTTATCATTGGTCCAAATTATTTATACGATGCAAATCATCTATACTCAAAAGTTAAAATTTTTTGAATATAATGTGACCTATGCATTGGATTTTATTCAGCTTTTTAAAAGGAATTGATTAATGTAAAAAAAAAATTTGTCTCAAATTTTCTTGATGATATTTCCCAATTTGGAATTCCTTTTAATACATGAGCATAAAAGAAATCTGATTTTTGTAACGCATATTATATGCTTAATCCCTGCAATTGTGTATTATATACACATAATATTTGTACCCATTTTCCTGATGTAGTTTTGTGCAAGATTCATTATGGATCGATGGAAATTATGCTGGCTGTAATTGATACAAAAGGAAACCCGACAAACACTGGATAATCGAATTCATTTTTCAATACTTTTGGTATAAGTTTTATAGTAAATTATTATTGCGCAGTACTGTATAATATATGGGTAAAGATTTTTATGTTTTGCATCAATTCCCAACCAAACTTTATAAAAATTTGCATAAACATAAATGAATTAATTTTTATTAGTTGTGTTAAAATATGGCATCTTAAATTGGTTCTAGGTGAATGTTTTTTGCAAAATTTAATTTGTTTTTTAATTATCAGGTTAAGCAACAAAACATAGAAAAGACCATCCCGAATTTGTATATCCTTCAGGCCAGACAGATTAACTTTTTCTTTTGATAAAAAGACATTAGAAAATTGTAATGCAATTAAGCGATTGATTGTTATCTAAAATCTGTTTATTCGGTAGCAATGCAACAAAAAAATGTTACCTTTTTATGCCATACATAGGCGTTCTAAATTAGATATTAACGGAATTTTGCATTTGGTACATTGACATTACAATTCCTGGAACTGGTTCAAATAATACAATAATGTTCGGAGAAAGATAATTTGGCTTATAACAGTATAAGAACCAGAGATCTCTAAACAAAATTTTATTGACTAATGAATATGAAAAACAAATGGAGGATTCAAAAAAAGCCAAAAAAACGATGGGTTAAAGAAGAAAGGACCACTCACTATAATCAGCAAGTTATAATAAGATTTAGAACATGTCATCATCTTCAGGTAATATGTAGGAATACTTAATATTCAAAATTATAACTGGTGAATTATTATGATCAGGGTTGGGAATTGTACACATGAGCTTAAAAATTTTTTAGTACATTGTAGTGATTTATGATTGGTTGATCAAATGTAATATATATATGTTAAATTCGTCAACTATTGTCACAGCGAACTATAATAATAATCGAACCCTTGTCATAACGGATTTTAAAAATTTTTGCTTCACACATATCACATTAACATGTAAAACATATAAAATCCGTTGTGGCAAGATTAGTATTAGTATTTAGTAATCTTGCCACAGCGGATTTTAAATAAAATTTGTTTATGTGTACCGTTCATCCGCTGTGGCAAGGTTTGACTATATTGTGGAATTAACTACATACTGTATGTGATTGAAGATATTTATACTACTATTAATTATTTTGAATTGATAATATAATTAACAAGAATGTAGAGATAATTTTTTTATTTCATTATAAATAAATAGAAAAAAAAATTTAGGAATCACGGTAATAATAATACTATTAATACTACTACTAATAATAATAATGCACCATAGGATAATACAAGTATAATATGATAATCAGGGGTTTTCTGATAACGAAGTAGTATTACGATCTTTAATTATAGTAATCGTAATAGTAATAAGGCTGACGGCATAATATTATTATAGGATTTTACAAAATAATATTTTATCACCACAGAACGTTTGCACAGCGAAATTGCACAACACTGACTATAATGATAACATATATAATACTACTACATAATAACAAGGGGTTTAAATAAGCACATATAACACGATAATAAGGTTTTTTCTGATAATGAAATAGTATTAAGACCCCAGTTACAACATCTGATCATTAATTATAGCAATAGGATTATCGGGTTAATAATAATATTATTATAGGATTTTACAAAGTAATATTTTGTCACCGCAGAAAATCATCATTTCTGATACATCGACATTTGTACGTATGTACATATGTAAAATTTCCTCGTACAGATGTACGACCACAACGAAGCCATACGAACTCAATGGTACGAAGTCAGTCGTACGTACGTTCGAAGTTTCTCGTACAGTGAAATTGCACAACCCTGATTATGATATATAAAGCGATTGTCACACAATGCTCACAAAATATAAATTTAGCATAGCAGAAGTTTGTTGTTACACGAAACGTTATACAGAACTCATTGCTTCTGAAACTTCACCAGTATATAGTTGTTGCCTCTCTAAATTGGTGATCAAGTTCAGATCCAATTCAAATCCAGTTTATCACTTACTTTTTATTGCCAGAATGTTTGCCGTGTATTGTAAAGCTACGTTGCACAATATAAAAAATTAATGTAACATTTCAAATTTCCATTATGCTTATAAATTTTGACTGTGCCATATATACAAATTAGTATTTTTTGTGAAAATCTGCTGATAATTCCAAATTTGGTTAAACCGTCTTGACATTCTGACATTTTATTATTTGACATTTTTAGAACATTTTGTTTAAAATACATTTTGACTTTAGACATATCCTAAAACAATTTTGAACACCCATCTATAGTGAGAAATAAATTCTAAGACTTGCTATTTCCAGATTTTGACTAACTAAGATATTTAAATTTAAATTAAAGCCATAAATAATCAACCATTTTTGATAGTTTTTTTAATTATTAGAAAAAAAATAATTTCTTGATTTGTATGTATAAATTAACGGCCCTGTTTTTTTTTCCTTGACTGTTATTACAAATTCAAAAATCTCAATTTTATTTTTGATTCGCTTTATCATGTATTATGTTATTGCTTTATTGTTTGTGAAAGGGGCGAAGAAATTATCAGGTTACTTTGTATAACCATCCAATTGCTAAAGTTCGAACTCTGGAATCAAATGTTTGCTTTGTTAGGTTATGCCCACATAATATTGTTTTTATTTTCATAGTCTTAAGTATAAATTAAATTAAATTAACTAATCTATATTGTCTATATTATCTTACATTAAACTTGAACTGAGTTTATATCCATAAATTTATAAGATCTAGGATAAATTTCACTAAAATTAAATAAAATAAAAACAGAAATTTACAAATTGTGTTTGTATTCTTGCAAATGAATTCATTAACAAATCTACAATAATCATAAATCATAAACTTACGCTTGTAATATGCCTACTAATGCTATCAGCGAACACAGTGGAGTTGTAATATTAGTGAAAAAGAAAAATATTCTGCTTACAATCGGTTGATTAAATAATTTAAGATAAAATATTGATAATAGTATCAATGATATACCATAACATAAAAACATATATATACAAGTATAATTTAATATTTTCATCTGAGGAATTGAAGAAATTAAGAAAAATTAGTTGAAGCATCAATTTGATTAGTTAATTGAAGAAGTGGTTTAATGATTTTCACAAACCTTTCTTATATTTTGTTTAAGTCTTAAATTTCTCCATTCCAATTTTGATAGTTTTCTTGTTCCATTGTTATTTCTATTGTTACTGTTATTGTTGTTAAAATTATTCCTCTCCTCAACAATTTCTTTTTCTTTTTTTCCCTCATTTTTTAGTTGTGATTGCAGTGATTCCGGATATTATAGCTAATGATGGTGAATATATAAAATGAATTATAAAAAATGTCCAATAAATTTTGTTGATATGTGATTCTGGTAATAAGTAGACACCTTTTGTTGGTTGTTGATGCGAAGTAAAATTGTGAAGATACATTTTTAACAGTGCTCTAAAGCTTGAATGGGAATGAGAACGAGAGAAATCAATTAAAATTAAAATAGTGCCTCAATTGATAAATATTATCAGATTCAAAGTTAACTGCAAGTATTAATTTGAACAACTTGATCAATTGGACATTTAAATATTTTGACACATACATTCCGGCAAGATAAGTTGCAACCGTTAGGTCCGCAGGAATCCAGCTGAAATCATAAATTAATTCTCTGGCGATTGGACTTGAAGCAAATAAATTAAATTGCTGTACAAAATTTGCAAATGCACGTACTAAAACAAAATATGATAATTAAAATAATAATTAATTAATTAATTACAACGATATGACTTTACCTCCACTAAATATTGAAATTCCTAATAAATAGCCTTCTAAAGGCAAAAAAAATCCACTGTTCTTATCCCATAGATGACTATTCCTAACTACTAATCTTATAAATAATAATATTATTCCACCAATTGCAACGCTTAGAAATAATATATTTGATAATATGTAAAGGTTTTTAAGTACTGTATCGTAATTACAATTTGCTATTGAATATTCCCATCTATGTTATAATTTATATAAAGTTTTAATATTAATTAATAAATATTTCAATTGAAATTATTATTATACATACTCGCATTCTAGTAAAGCTGAATCACTATCATTCATCGATAATATCAATTCTCACATTTAATAATAATTATCAAAAGAAAAAAATTTTCATTTATTATTTATATTAAAAAATTATCTTTTGTGTTTCTTATCCCGTATTTATTCATTCTAAATTAATCAGTTCGAATTTTTATTTTTATTTTTTTTATTATTATTTCACACGAAAAAAAAAAAACAAATGATCAAAATAATAAACTATCACTACGTAGAGATCATTTATTACCTAATTGGTTGATCAAATATTTTATTGGCTCATAATTGATAGATAAGATAATTTTTTAATTAAAAAGCCATGCACCATTCCTATTGTTTACTCATTTTTATTTTTTATTTTTAATTTTTTTTGAATCTAATTTTTTAGTAAAATAATTAATTATTAATTATAAATATTATTATTATGTAATCAGAGTAGTGTAATGTATACGGAACCTGCACTCTTTAGTGTTACACAAGCATTCGAAAGAACCACCTTTCATCTTGTAATCTATTGTTAGTTCCTCCATTTTGTCTATATCACGTACTGCAAAAAATGCAATCCTTTGGCTTTTTAAGTCTCGATTTTCAACAACGAACTAATGACAATGACAACAATAACAAGGGTAACTAATTTATTATGATAAAGATTCAATTTATCTATAAATAAATTATAGATATATATATAACTTACTGGTATGGTGATTAGATTGGGATTACATGAATGATTTAGGAATCTGCTAATATTACAGTAATAATTTGTATCAATACTATTATTATTATCATTGTCATCATTATTATTAGTAGTAGTATATCACATATTAGAAATAATATATATATATATATTTAGTAGTTTAGTAAAATCAACTCAATCATTAAAAAATAAATATATTAATTAATATTATTACCTCAAGCAATTAATTGAATCAGCTACTGTAAAACCATAATCAAGATCAAAAAATGGCATTATATGTAATTTGTTGTAGCAAATTGTTCTTGTTAATGCTGTTTTTGAATCAATCACTTCTCCCATATGTTCTGTAACAAATCCTCCTCTTTTAATATTTTCAAGTGTTTGAACTCCCCATCCTTTATCATCGGTTTTGAATATCTATATCATTCATCATCATCATTGAAAAATCAATGTAAGCAAAGCGATATTAGCTGGTCGCTGATTTAATTAGTTAGTCATTTATTTATTCATCAATAAATCAATTGATCAATCATTTATCATTACCTGTAAAGTTCTGTTTAATTTTGGACTATTTTGAATGATTCTATTCCTGCAATTTGAATTACAACTACATTTAGAATTACATTCATATAAGATTCCCACATTAGAATGAATCAATCTTTTGTTTTGATAAGGATATCCTCCTGAATTCAATGATATTATTATTATTACTATTAATATAGTTAACTAACACTATCATAATTAATTAATTACCTTCCATATGGTCATCAATACAAGCACAATTATTCTAATTAGTATAATAAAAATAATCATTAATTATATAAAAACAAAATTAAAATAATGATTAATAATAATAATAACTTTGCAATTATCTTCACAAGAGCATCCATAATTATATGTTGTATCAGGTTCTATAACTTTTATATTAAACAAATTTTCGGCAACAAACTAAAAAAAAAATTTTTTTTAGAAAAATAGTATTATTAACATATCTATATATATTGTGTTACCTCTAAGTAAGGAATATCATCTTCTTTATCAATATCATTTACAACATAATATGGTCTTAACATTCTTGGTGGCATGGCATTTTTATCCCATAACTCTGCAAATCTTTTATCAAATAATAAAACTGATTCTAATTCCTTTAATTTTTTTAAGACCTTATCACCAAATTCTTTTATTGGTGTTTCAATTGGTAATCCTGTTGATAGTTTTAATTTGTGTTGATAGGTCACCAAACATGATTTTTTCTAAAATATTATAATTTGTGCATGAATGTGAATTTAAAATTTTTTAAAAAAGATTTATATATATAATATGATAAAGACAATTATATTTTACTGTAAATTGTTTCCAAATTTCATATATTTTATTCGGATTTCTAAATATAATTGCACTCTAAAAACAAATATTATTATTATCAATTATTAATGGAAGTAATAAAACTAAAGAAAATTTTACTTACAATTGCTTGAATAAGCATTGATGAAACTTGATAAGAAAGGTACTTCCTAATTAAAGATTCTTCTTTTTCTGTAATATTTTCAATTTTTCCATTCCTTAAATAAATTTATTAGAGCTTATATTATTAGTAATTCATTTATATTATTAGTATGGAATTCAAATTATTTATTATATTTACATTCTATTTATTCTATGTATAACCCATTCCACTGACAAAAAATCATCATTAAGTTTTTCACTTAATGTTTTAGTAAGGTGTACTATGCTTTCCATATTTTTAATCCATAAATTGACTTTTCTTGGTGTAATATCACTTAAAGCCATCTTTTTTTTATTAACTTATTAATTTATTTGATTTATTTATAAAGTTAGTATTCCAAAAAATGAAAAATATATTTCTTTTTTGAAAGTTGGATTAACGGAGGAATATGATTGGGTAGAAGGTGTTGCGATCTGGCGATTTTAAACACTTCTTTGTGGAGTGCCCCAAAATGAGGTTCCTTAATTGCTGATGAAGAACCCGAAACAACTATATTAGAGGTATATATATACATCCGCTGCTTAAGAGTGTATCACAACACTCCTGGGTACACTAAAAAGCGCTTTGTCACTCCTCTTTAGTATAAGATAGTCATACCTCTACCTAGGGATGGGGACGGTTTATGTCACGTCCGGCGATGAATAATATTTTTAATAATTGATCCGTGACGATTAATATACTAAATTACAGGTGACATTTATATTGCCAAAACAAGACAAGTTAATTGTCACTTATAATTTAGTAGTTAATCGTCACGGATCAATTATTAAAAATATTATTCGTCGCCGAACGTGACATAAACCGTCCCCATCCCTACCTCTACCCAATCAAAAATAGCATAGTGGACATTCGTTTTATCACTTGTGATAAAATCGATCGTCGATCTTTTTTATATTGTGAAACTTGCTATTTCAATTGAATTTAGAATAGAAAAAAGTTGCGTGACTGTGTATATACAAAACCCATCTTATGGAAAATCTATTTTTTTTTATATTAATATATTGCTTTGACTTTTCTTTATATTTTGGTAAAACTTGATCAATTTGATCAACAAATTACCTTAGAAGTAAAAGTTTAAGACTTCTGTGATCTTGTCAGTCACTTGGTGGACAAAAGTTTGTGTCCAAAATTTCTTTTCAGTTTATTTCAAAACTATACTAATTAAAATATTGTAATCTTTATATCATTCGAAAGCTCTTGTTCTTGAGAATATGTTCATGACAGTATGTCCTGAAGGGTTGAATATTGCATTGTCAACAATGGTTGGCCAACTAGATATTAAATATATATATTTTTTTGAAATAAAAAATAAGCCATTTATCTATCAACACTTTGTTATTTTTACATCATTTTTTAATTTTTTTTATAGTTGGCTTGGTCTAAATTTTGGGCAAATTTTAAAAGTATAGAAGTCACTTTCTGTCCTACCTTTTAAAAAAAATAGCTTTATTAGTTGATAGAATATGTCTTTAGTTTTAATGTAATAGAGAGATTTTCTCAAAAAAATTATT